ATATATATTTTTTCTAAAAACTTAACATATGGCTATACCACAGTTGAACCAGCTTGTTTGTATCCTCTGGCCCTCACCCTTCACAGTCGATGATCTCTGGCCCCTCGAACGAGAAAGGTTCTGAGGCATCAGGCTCCGACTTCATCTTGTAGACTTTAGTGAGGACTGCATTGTTGAAGTAACCATTAGGCTCAAAGTGGAACTCTAAAGTGAAACTCTGAGAGAAAGAATAAGAAGACAATTTAACTCGGTGTTTTAAATGTGTTTAGTTTATAAATGTGGCATATATTGGTACATTACTACACTGACCATCGGCTGTCCTGGCTCAGAAAACCTGACTTGAATATCTTTTAGGTGCTTTAGGATGGGCTCATCATGTTCCTGTTGGGAGATTAACAGTTGGGTGAGAGGCTTAGGACACCGTTCAGACACATGAAACATTAGTGAGTCACAAGTGAGACATGACTTATTGTGATGTACCTGTAGCATGTCACTGAGCATGTCCACACTCTTGAAAATGGTGAGCCAGAACTCAGGGATGCCTTTTGGGTCTTCCTCTGGCATGGCTTCCTCTTTCTTTGCATCTTCAATAGCAGCCTTTTCCTTTACTTCTGCCTAGAGGCAGAAGGCATAGCACTTATTCACTGTTCATGAAAAGGTTTTGTTAAAGTGGTCAAGAAGTCTCACTTAGATGAAGAGCTTTTACAAGATAGAGATGTTATGTGTACAAAGACATCAGGTATACACAAGATCACAGCAAGACTAGTCAGTAACACATAACTGTCAGCTTGTTAGTCCTATTAATTCTCAGTGAAACCTTTCCCACAACCCTGTTGTTTCCTGTTGTGCACAAACCTGTTTGCCTATTTGTCCAAATATGTCTATTTCTCCGTTTGCTTTTATGAAGACGATCAAGATATTGATTTTGCACTGTAGGCCTAGCATTCATCCCTTCATACACCATGGAGGGAAAAAAAAGCTTTGTGCTCAAAGTTTATATTGAAAACACCTTATTTTCATTGCAGTGAAGTCCTTTGGCAGACCTTCAGAAAAATCAAAAACATAATACTGGACAGGCCACAGTTAACAATTGTTTCCAATAACTTGCACAGATTTTCAGTCCTTGACAGTCGGGAAACGGCACACACCTGAGTAAACACTGTGGACAACACACTTAATGACTGGAGGTTCTGGCAGCAGACGAGCCTGTGAATCCCACGAGATCAAACCAGTTCCTGCATGTCCTTGTACCAAATCAAACAAAAATGCAACCAGCTTTCACTGTTAATATCTATCCATAGTTTATAGCTAAATTTGTGTTGACAGGAAAAGGAAGAGAAGGGACAAATCATGGGTGGAGGCTATATGCAGACTGTGCACATCCTGCAGGGGGAACTGATGTTGAGGAGGTGTTCATTTTCCTGCCACAGTTCAATCAGTTTCTCCTCCAGTTCAGTTGTCCGGTAGACTTTCAAAATACAAACCTTTTGACTCACCATTCTTCAAATCTTTACCTTTTATCTTTTGTTTAATTACAGGTACATCTCCCCCAGGTGGCTCATACGTGACTATATTGATTGCTGATGTCAGTTGCAAATATTTAACATAAAAAATAAAAAAAAATCTTTGAGAATGAATGGCACTGACTGGATCTGGAAGACGACTTTATATGCCGCCTGATTTGGTCCAACAGTCCAGTCAGTTTTATCACCCACGTCCCATTTATAATTAAAGCAGTAGTTTAAGTATGTGCCCACCTTTAAGTAGAGTTTATGACTGTCAGACATCTTATGTAGTTGAATGGAAAAAAAATTCTCTTTCTTTGCTGTGGAACAGAGATGTTCACGTGGCACAGAATTCAAGATTGACTCATTCTGAATCTCTAATGTTTTCAATGTCGTATCTATTCCAAGAGCATTTTCCCCTTTGGATTTATACCCTGTGTATTAACTGATAAGATTTACAGTGGTTTAATACTGTGTTTCTCAGGGTAACCACAGAGCATCTAAACATTTCCCTTGTTAAATTCTGTGAACCTGCAGATAAATATGGAGTCCTAATCCAAATATTATACACATCTGAGGCAAACTCAAGCTGTAGTGTGAAACCTTTATGTCTATTTACTTTATCAACCATGTGATATGACACTTGTTTATTAGGTACACCAAGCTAAAACTAATGTAATGTAATCCAGCTGTCCTGTAATAAATCCTTCTTCTTGAAGGTGATAATGTTCCATTTTTTTCCCTAAACTGTTTTAGAGAGGTTGAATCAACACTGTACTTACAGCTAACTGCTCCTCGTCCTCTCTGTCACTGTGCCACTCACACTCCTCGTCTGTAGGTTCCACTGTTCCTGTGACAATATCTCGTCTCTATGACACATTATGACATAGTTAATATGAGATATTGCCAAAATACCTGTATATAAACATGTATTCATTCAGTAAGACTGAATTATTTGCATCAAGCAGAGTGAAATCTACACCATTTCGAGAAAGCGACACAGAAAACATATACACAGTACAAACAGGTGCAGCAGGACTGCAGCTGCCAGTCTTCAGTGTCACTAAGAATGGCTGAGCTCTCGCCACTACCTCTGGAAATAGCCTTGACTGACAAAAGAACAGTTGACTACTCATTGTGGTAGTTTTCAATTCAGCACCAAGGATGTGTCCTCACTGACCTGAGCTCAGACCAGAAAGAGAAACTACACCACAAATAAGACACCATTGTGCTCTTCTCTAGCAACTGCACTATTTGCATGAACATAAAATGAGCAAAGAAAATTCTGTATATTTGGTTTTACTGTCAAGAAAAGTGAAGCTAAGAAAAAGCTCTGTTACAAAAATATTATTTAACCTACCTTGTCCAACAGTGGCTGGTATAGGGCAGCATACTTCCTCTCTAGCTCGTGGATTTCTTCGTAAAATTTAGCCTCTATGTTAGCACACTGCACCTGTAGCCTTTTCAAGGCATGCACTCGCCTTTTCACTGCTTTAGGAAGCATGCTATAAGAGAAGAGAAATAAAGGTAGATTTAAATAACTGATGGTAAAAGGTAATATTAGGATCTAATGAGTTATGCTAACACCTGACTCCAGTTGATATTTAGTGACATAATGCTTTTTATCATTTGTGACTTTGGTGAAGATTAGATCACATTTCATGACCAATTTATGCAGAAAACCAGGAAATCACAAATAGTGTTTCTTTTTCTTGACTGTAAGTACAGTACTTGAGTTAATGTACTTAGTTACTTTCCACCACTGTTTAGAACAGTGGTTAATACAACAATATGTTTCATCATGTGGATGCTATAACGCTTTTGGCTGCGAAGTGCCAGTCGCATTAATATGCAAGTGGTAATTATAAACAGGACTTTCACAACTCTGTGCGTACATTTTGAGACGTGCTACGCACATCACATGTAACTGATACACTCCTATTTTAGTCAGTTCAGCTGTCCACATGTTGGGTACCACATCACTCACACTTTATGCATGTAATCGCAAATTGAAGCATAAAGTTCCACAAAAATCCACTAATACAATCAAAGCTCACTAATTTCAACCAGAATTCCTCCAAAATAAAAAAATAGCTCAAGAGAAAACTGTTAAAACATGAGCATTTGTAATATCAGTCATACAGTGTTGACAAAAGTGTTGTTTTTTTAACTACTTTTCTTCCATTTCACTGTGGAGTTCATGTACTATTTCTACATATGTGTGGATTATGCCTGTTAAGCTGAAGTAAACTAGTGTAGGACAGGCTTAACAAAAAAGTATGATACCTGCAGCAGGCTTGAGGCCTACTTCGTGGTGTTAGCATGAGCAAGCTAACATGAGGAAATAGAAGATTGACTGGTTTGTTGGAGTGAATACATACACAAGGTGGATTCTGATGAAGCATAAAAGGAAACATACATTTGGTGAGTTATTTAAAGGCTATCTGAAATTTTTGGTGAGTTATTTTAAATGTTTGGTGGCTAGAACACTTGCTCAAGTATTAGGCCATTGTGTCTGGTGTTGCATAATCAACATAAGACTATATGGCCCAATCTAATATAACACACACCCCTAAAGTGGTTCCCCTAAACTGGCTTCACCTGTTGTCAGTAACATAATTGCGACATGTGCAAGGTATGTGCTCATGAGCTGCACTTGTGTTTTATTTTGTGGACTAATTATTGTACATAGATTTAAATGTCTGATTAGTGATTCTCAAGGACCAGCTGGAGAGCACCTCCTAGATTCTATGCTGGTCTGTGTGGAAAGTTGAAATGGGAGGTGTTGATGAGAGAGAGGAGCTGCTGAACTGAATAAGCATGATAAGGAGAAAATGTGGTATGTTGTAATAATGAAAAAAATGATCACATTTTAATGTGAAGCATCTTATAAAAACAAGAAAACTATCCTGTTATAATGAGAAAGGCTTCTGGTTACAACAAAATACTAAGCAAGTGTTTAGGCGAGCTGAACACTGCCTAAACAATTATGGTATGGCCAGTGTATACACATGTACACAATGCCACCCCTAATCTCAATCTTTCTATTTTTACCTTCTGCCTCACATGGCACAAACACAGTATAAACCATCTGCACTGACCTTTCCGAGAAGTGGAAGCCAGCAGGTCTGTCCATCTGCCCACCTGGATTTTGCATCCCTTGATCTCCTTTATCTGCCGAATCAACAAAGAACATTAATGCAGGTGTATTTCTCCTATGATCATTACACAAATAGCTTATTAAAACTGCAAGACAGTGGACTGTGGGATTCTTTCCATTCACTGTTACAGAGTTTAAAAACCTAGCCGTGATGATTTTTCATACACTAAATAATGTAAAAGAATTCGATTCAAATCTAAAGCAATTTTTGAGGTTATATTTTACTAGATCTAAGACAATCAGTTAATTAATTAGCTGAAATGTGAGGATTTACCACTTTACTCGGTCATATCTGACAGTATACCAAATATCTTTAGGTTCTGAGATACTGGTCAAATAAAACTTAAAATCTGAATACATAACCTTGGTTTGTAAGTGATTATAGTATTGTTCACTGTTTTCTTTCAAGATGATTGATGGAGAAATAACTGGTGGGTCAATGTCTTGGTGAACCAGGACTGAGTCAAATCACATGCACCAGCATCTCCTTACCTTTATTTGCGTCCATTATCGAGTGGCAGCTCTTTCCTCTGTTAGAAACATAACAGTTATATTATACATACGGGTAATTACATTGACTGAATAAGTACTGATACAGCGAGCTAACAACAAAGTGAGCAGGAAAGATAACCACTGTCGACTGTGTGTCGTCAGCGAGCCCAAGACTGCACTGAATCGTTGATGTACATATGAGACGGTTTTTCATTATTACATTATCCCAAATCTTCGGTGTTATATCGTTAAATGTAAAACCGATCATTTCACCAGATGTGCCAACTGATTAAAGTATCATCTAGCAATAAAGACTGACAGCCCGGCTAAGCTAACTTCAACTGATCAGCAACACTAATGTTGAACAAGCGCAGGCCGATGACGTTTTGACATGGTAATAACAACTGGGCTAGGCAACGACAGCCAAAGTAGCATTTCTCAATTTATAATAAATAATATTCTATCATTGCCACAGGGGACCACTGATAAAACAACATCAAATGAATCCACATGCTAGCATCGGCTCACCATTAAGCATATAGCAAGAACCGCCCAGTATGGGCGGTGCCAAAGATCTGACAGCAGCTAACCGGGCTAGCTAGCAGGAAACTACGAGCCAACGTGCAATGAACAATGCTTTAGCTAGCAGCAAGTGCGAAGGTTAACACGTTACATTAACGTTTTCTCCCGCAACAATACACGACAATTACGATTAGCTGTACTACTGTGTGGCAGAACAAAACGTACTGTGCCTTTCAATTATGCAGATAAATCCTGCCGTTTTTGTGTTACGACTGCTAGCCACACTGACAAGCTAATATCAGCTAACGTTAGTTAGCTTGCGAGCTAATAGAAGCCTCAGAGTAAGAACAAAGTGTCGGTGAAGACAGTTCACCAACAGCTTGTCCAATTAGTGAGATCACTAGTAACGTGGATGACCGATCTCATAATATGGTAACAAATGATCATATTAATTAAATATTTGTATTTACTTGCTGTTTTAGCTGTCTTACCTCTATCTGAGCTGAATTCGCGTCGTCGCTACTCCCCCACCCGCGGAGCAAACACACACTCCAACATCGTGGATTCTGATTGGACAGTTGATGAAGGAAGGCACGGTTCAATGCTGAATTCCTAAAATCCCAGGCTTGAGGAGTGTCCGTAGTATAGTATTACCCAGCAGTCTACTCATAAAACAGGCAAGCAAATGAAGCAGAAACATCAGTATAATAAAATAAAATAAAATAAAATTCTAGTTTGCCTTCTAAAACTTCATAGCTAGACAGAAGCATTTTTCCCGGAGATATCTCAGTCAAATGCATCTTAATTTTACAGCTTTCATATTCATAGTAGGCTTACTTGTTTTTGCCTCCGTATTATTTTTATTTGGCACAGTAACACACTTTAGAGTTTCTGTTTTGTTCGATTTTCTGCCAGTCATACATGCCAGTGGTCTTTCCACAACATAGCTCAAAAGTGAGTAATATAATATAATAGTAAAATCACACATAGACCAAACATACATGTATATGTATGCTTGTATAATTTATATATAAATTACAAAAATATAATCACAATGCTCTTGTGAGAGGAATGGAGTGTAGGTGTGAATTACAAGTACAAACAGCAAGCTGACAGGCCAGGGGAAGACAGTGGGAGACTCCTCAGTGGAGCCTATTCAGTAACAAGCCAGACTCTCTGACCTCTTGACAAAAGTAGAGCTCAGCCAACTGGAAAAGACAAACAAAGATAGGGCCAACCCTGCCCCTGTCTCAAAAGTCAGGGGGACATCTGAAATGCTTACATAAATACAGTATCTGTATAATAAGTTCAACCAAGGAGTCACTCAAGTATCAATGTTGTCATCTCAAGTGGCCCTCTGGTTGGTTAATATATCATCTTTTTAAGCCAAAGTATCCAACTGGGGACTATTTTACTTGTACATACACAACACCCAACACATTTGGGGAACTCACTCTGAGGCACACTTTAGGAGATGCTCCTTTTAGTTTTACCCTCCTCCTGATTAGGCACCCTGTGTACACCTCTGCTCATATTGTACCACTGCAAGCTCCTTCTGATGGTAAATGCCACACCTCAGGTACCAGCTTTATTGAATCACATGGCTACATACTCAGGGCATATAAACCTAAAGTTCATATGTCATACATACAATTTGTGATCCATAGTGTACTATAGCGCTTTTGAACGTAAGTAATAATTATACCATCTTAAAGTTTTATGAGGTTTAGTAAGCCACTGGAAATAAGAGATATGCATACAGCATTTTTTTTACAATATTCAAACTGCAACTAATATGAACTTTACTGAGCACATTGTGAGTTCTTATCATGATTACTGACATTTATATTTATTTATCTGGCTTTTATCCAAAGCCTTATAAATCAGACAGATTATGCTTAGACCACAAGAGGGCTTCATATACCAGTGCCTCATAGGAGACAGTAATGTAGTGTCTATACACTGAAAGGGGTTCTCGTGTTGTATAAATATATTGATGAGTAGGCAGGTGATGTGAGTGTGTACATTATAGAATGTACATGTACCTTCATGTATTGTCATCGTGCCAGTAAGAAAAATTACATAAAAGACTGTTATATGGCTCTTTTCATTTTGCATCAGACATAATGGACAAAATGTTTTCAACATTTTGCCTATGATAACATACTGACATCTTAGTGCAAGATATGGTTGGAGTGACCGGCTGATTATTGGAATGACTGAAATCTCTACAAAATATGCAAATACTAAAGGTTAAAGCAAAAATATTTTGCAGTTGTACTGGTCATGCACTAGTCATGGTATGAAGTGAATTTCATGGTAATTATTGTAGATGACAGAAATGTTAAATTAGATTCGTACACCATGAAATAGCTGAAAGAACATTCTGTATAATGAAACAACATATCATCATTGAACAGTCATTTTTGACTGAATATGGCAGAAAGACAAGAGCTTGGCTTTTCTAGATATTTTTAATGGTCTCAAGAGATGATGTTGAGAGAGATTTTAAATGTGTGCTACAGAAAGGTTTCAAAGTGGGAAGTGATGTTAGCTGTGGGTAATTTTCTGTCACCATTCATGAAAGAACAGATCCATTTGTCTGAGAAATCACATCTCAAATTAGAAAATCCACTACCTCTTCACATCATATTCATTTAGAATTCTGTTGCTTTGCTTACTTGAAAACGTTATACTGTATAAGTGCACAGGACCAAATCAGTAGTGATCATCTATTCATATAGAATATCTTTTTTGTTTCTTTTGGAAATAACCCACTGGACACACAAAACATCAAAATCCAGTCTTCTTTCCATTTGCTATCAACCTGTGTGTAGTCTACACACTTGAGAGGAAGTGACAGAACTGGACCCCTCAGGGTACGACTGTGGTGACCAGGCTTTGTGCCTGTCACAGTGTGACATTTACCAGCAGGGGCTGTACTCACAGAAGAAATCAAATGTGATTGTGTAGCATTTGGGATGAGCCAGAGATCTAGGAACAAGTGTACAGTAATGGAAAATTTTGGAAATCTAGGGCGATTGTACTGTTATTTGAAAAAGAAACAGTGGCTAAATATACAAAGGAGCTCATTGCACACTTATCTCAAAGTAGTGTAGAATTTTGAGTTAATATTAATGAATCAAAAACAAAAATTACTTTACAGTTATTCATTTGAAGGCTCCTAATAGCTTTGTGACCCTCTATAGAAACAAAGCCTTTGTTGAAGTGACTCTGATATTATTGAGACAATAGCAACACCTGCAGCTTTCAGCTCTCAAGTCACCAACTCCCAGATTACTCCCACTCTCAGTCTTTTGTTACTGGCCCCTGTGTGGGCAGAAGACTCACACCTGGCTGTGTAAATGGTGTATCTTCACTTGTCTAGTCAAAGTTTCATTGCATGAGTAGTACAAGTGTTTGATTTGTTCATATAGAGGAGTCAAGACAAACTCTTATCACGTCATTTCTCAGAAGTCTGTCAGATGGCTGATAGTAGCCAGTCTTTCAAGTGCACCTCTGTTTATACACTCTATATCATGTCTCTGAGTTACTGTAAAAACACTATGGGTGTTAAAAAGTGGAATTCACATGTCTATGCTCTGATCATACAGCATGCTTTGTCTTATAGCTGATTATTAGAGCTGAAAGAATTGCAGAGAACATCACACATGTGAATGTTGAAGTTGTAAAAGAAAGCTGAACGCTAACCTGTGTTTTCTGCCTTGATACTGTAATAATAAGTGATTCCCCCCCACTGACCCAAACCTGAATCGGTCAAATGTGTGTCGTTAGTATAGATTGTCTGTCTGATCTCACGTATATTTAACTCTCTATGCTTCTTGTAGTTTTTCATGCCTTCTCTTTTTGACTTAGCAACTAAACTACCTGGCACTTGAACATACATATTTTATCTATCTTAGATTTTTCTGTTATTTCGGTTTTGTACTCATTACAGCACTTATAGCATGTCTGTACATCCTGCAAAAGCGCTCCCTATTTATCTTGCTGTTTTTCTACTTAAAGGTTCCTTAGAGCTTTTGGGCTAAATAAACACAATTAAACTGATTTATGGGCTGTGTTATCAGCAGTTTTTAAATTCTTTTTGGTAGTCAGTTTTATCTCATACTTTCTTTCTGCCAGTCACAATTAGAGGCCATTTACTGGTGGTAGCTTGAAAAAGGAATAGAAAATTTGTGCATTTGGTCAGTCATTAAAGCCTCAAATTTTCCTAATCATTTGTGGTTGGTGTGTTTCCATAACTCAAAAACACACAAGTTAACCAAACAGAGTCTCAAAATAATTAGCAGGTGTGACTGTGTTTGACAGGTTCTGTGTTAGCTATCTAACTAGCTGGAGACAAAGTTGTCTCCTTGCCTTCAGCCACGTGCATGCTTGGACAATCACACATGACCGTGAGTGGAAAGTAATGGGTACAAAAGTAAATGAATGATTGAAACTGTATGCAGTTCTCTTCACATTTTCATACATTACTTAATCAGTTCCTTAGCACTGATTCACTGAGTGTGGAAATGTATTGTGCAGACAGATCTGGACAATCTATTTATTATTTTAAAGCAATTTAATCCATACCATTCTACCTTTGGAAAAAAGTATACATTGTGTTGCTTTTATCAGTCATGGTCTTCAGTAAGACTGGTCTAGACTCAGCTGTGGTCCGGTGTAAATGTGTCTTTGTTTTTCATATTTTTGTTTCTGACTTGTCTTACCTGTATAAACACATGCACACACAACAAAGAGAAGGGAAGAATTGACATTCTGTTGAAAGTGGATGTCATAACAGCTCATGTCCTTTTCTGATGATTGAACAAATAGCCACAGAGTCTTCGTTGGCCATTCTCATCCCACTGGGGTATTGGTTTTGTAAATGAAGAGGCCAAACTCCCAGATGGCAGTATTGATATATGTTGCCATGGCAGGGCAGCGTTTATTAGCCATCCTGCCCCTGCATCCTCTGTCGTCCATTAAGCTCCTCTCATCCTAACTCATTGGGAAATGGCCTATCTGTGCACCATAATCAGAAAGACCAGAAAGACACACACATACACATTGACTGTAAAAAGCCATCAAAATAAGACACACAAACAAAGCTAGCAGTCACAATGACACAGCTGCAGCCATTATTCACAGGAGGAGGTCTTGGTGGGGTGGGGGTGTCCTCTGAAATGACTGCATCAGAAGGCCCTGTATGCGTAACAAATTCAGCACAGCCATCGATCCGACTTATGGCAGGATGACTTCTCTGCTCACGCTTTATGCAATTTGAGTGCAATTTACTTTGATTTGCACCCATGAACAATTTCAATCATGAAATCTTGTTTTTTTTTCTATTTGTTGTCCTCTGCAGTCTCCAACATTCTGATTCTGCAACAGCAGCTAAACCTTTTAGCCAACAACAAAAACAACCCATAACG